AGAGGGTGTTAGGGTGGCAGTGTGATGCCTGCACACAGGCCATGCCCAATGCTGGGGGAAGGACTATCGTCCTGATGGTGGGTCTGGGTTTGACTCCCACAGTCTGCTTCCTGCTCTGGGAGGGATGTGTGAAGCTGGGCTAGGATCCCTGCTAGCCAGCGCCTAGGTAGTGGGATCTTGTTTTCTCAGACCTGAGAGGGCCTGTCATCAGAGAGCTCACTTTGCAAGGCTTAGTCTGTGTTTTAATTTAGCCTCTCTCTCTCTCTCCCTCTCTCTCTGTGCTTGTGTGTGTGTGGGGGGGCATGCGTGCATGAGTGTGTGTGTGTGTGTGTGTGTGCAGGTACATGTGTATGAGCGTCATTCCTTAAGCACCGTTCACCATTTATTTGTTAATTTGTTTATCCATTTCTACAGTTTTCAGTCTTTGAGTCCTTTCCACAGAGAAGTGCACCACAATAGCAAATCAAGTCACCACAAAATCTCTGCTCCTTTACTTACCCATTGTCCACTCTCCTGTTCCCTTTTGTGCGGGCACCAGCCCTTGTCCTTGCAGCCTCCTGGACCTTCTTTGTTCTGCTCCCACACCCCTTTCCCTGCATTCCTGAGCTCCTGTTCTCCCCAGGCAGGCTGTATCTTGCCAGTCTCTGTCTAGGCTCACTTTTCTTTAATCCAAGGAATCATGAATCCCGCTGAAGCCAGTTGTCTGGCCACCACTCAAATGGGTTTTGAATCCAAATACAAAGAAGACATCTGGTGCCGCCTTGTGCACTTTGGCTAGTTTGCCCCGGATTCTGACTTAGGTACTGCTGCCTTCCTAGGGTGAAATAGATAGTTGGTCACAAATTTCCTAGTCTGGTAGGTTCTGTGTCATTCATGATGGTGGTTCAAGAAGCCAAGCAGAAGAGCCCACTCATCTGTTTATGTTTGAGACAAGGTCTCTCACTGGTACTGATGAACCTAGACTGTCTGGCCAGAGAGCCCCGGACTCCTCCCTTCTCTACCTCCCCAGCCCTGGCCTTAATAGTGTGTGCCCCCACCCTTGGCTGTTTTGTTTTGTTTTAATGTGCTTTCTGGGGCTTTATTGTTTTATTTTTTAAAGATGTATTTATTTTTAATGTATATTGGTGTTTTGTCTTCGTGTATGTCTATGTGAAGATGCCAGATCCCCTGGAACTGGAGTTATGGGCAGTTGTGAGCTGCCGTGTGAGTGCTGGGAATTGAATTGGGGTTCTTTGGAAGAACAGCAAGTGCTCTTAACTGCTGAGCCATCTCTCCAGCCCCATGAGGCATTAATTAATGTCTTAAACTTGTAAAGCAGACAATTTACTGACTGAACTTTCTTCACAGCCTTTAGCATTTTTATTTATTTATTTTTGTCCAGCACTAGCTAGTAGGTCTGTGCTCAAGAGCCTCCAAGGAAAAGTGGCTGATGGTTTAAACCTGGTCAGGTGACGTAGAGGACACAAGTGTGTCAAAGAAAGCAGTGGGGGAAGGGACCTAGTATGTCCAAGGGACTCTATGTGCTAGCCACATTGTCTACTAAACTGGGTTCTGGAATGACAAGCCATCCTCTATCTTAAGGACCCCTGGGACATCAGACATGCTCCGCAGATGCTGGTGGAAAAATTGGGATGTTTCGGATACAATGATGGGTTGAGACCCATTGAGACTACAGGGGTGTCAAGGAGTTTTCGTAGGGTTGAAAGTGGGAAAAGAGGGCTAGACTGTAGTGTGGCAATCATCTGGGCACAGCTGTCAGTTAGGAGGGGATGCTCAGATGGTTGGGGCTACAGACTCCTGGAGCCCAGGTCCTCCCAGACAGTGAAGATCATCATCTCAGATGGAGTTTCAAAAGCTCCATTGCTGTCAAGGTAGGGAGCCAGTGGCATCGAGGCAGACATGGTGAAGTGAGTGGATGCTTATGGGGAGAGAGGAGCTGGGGACTTGGCTTCCTGAAGGGGACAACCCCAACCCCACAGCCCTGCCCAAACCACAAGCTCCCAGGGCCACGCTCTAGCATGGGAACCCTGGTGGGCAGGCTGCTGGGTGGGAGAGATGTGGGGTTAGGGACCAGGAAGGTTTTCTGTGGTGAGGAGTCCCATCTGCCCAGGCAGAGGTTGGGAGGGCACACAGGCGGACAAGGGCTTAGAGCTGCCTCCACCTCAACTACTGGGGAGCTCTGAGAGCACGTGGTTTTCCTGGGTCTCCCTGGATCTCACTGTCCCCATGTGTCAGTGGGGACCTCCTGCCATAGCACAGGACTGCTAGAAGAATTAAGAGAAGATAGAGGCTATATGGGCTGTGGTCACGGGTTACCATTGGGTAGCTCTGGCTATGAGCATGCTAGCAGAGTGAGGGGGTTCTGACTACTGGATAAATACGGGGCCGTGTTGGGTTTAATAGGCAAGGAGCAGTGTCTGCCTTCAGGGTGTAGACCTAAGGAAAGAGCCTGGGTAAGGCTTGAGGAAGCACCTGAGAGGGACATAGGCCACACACCCTGAACGAGCTGGCTCTGCTGTTAGGGACTGAGACAGGTGGTGCTGGAGGAGTATCAGAGAGAGGGGGTCCTGTTCTCCATTGAGGGGCTCTAACACAGCCCCGAGCTTAATGCCAACTGGGGATGTCTGGACAGCCATGCCCTTGCCATGTGGACCCCTCTCCTTTCTCCTTTTTTTCCTGAGACTCTGCCTATGGGAGGGAACTGAGCTGGCTGGCTGGGTCCTGAATGATCTTTCCAGGTGCCAAGTGTCTTAGAGGGGGTGGTGAGTTAAGTGATAATGACACTGATGGTGGTGGAGACACTGATAGTGATGGTTGACAGTGATAGTGATGGCGAGGCTTAGTTGACACTGGTAGTGACGGTGGTGGCATTGAAGGTAGCGGTGACTCTGGGCTGACACTGGTATTGATGGCGACACCGATGAAGGTTGGTCATGATGGTGCCATGGGTTAGTGACGGTTACAACACTGATTGTGGTGGTGACTTGGGTGATGATGACACCATTAGTGGTGGTAGTGACACTGGTTGTGATGGGGACAGTAGGCAATGATGGCATTGTTGGCGGTGGTGGTGACGCTGGTGTGATATGAAATGCTGATGATGATTCCAGTAGTGAATGTGGTTACTCTTGCTATGAAGGTTTAGATGCTGACGACTGTTGGTGATGACAATGTCAGCGATAATGGTAACACTGGCTATGATGTGACAGTGGGTAGTGATGACAGTGTTAGTGAGGGTAATGACACTGGCTATGAAAGTGACACAGGCGGTGATGACTATTAGTGATGGTGGTGGCACTAGTCACAATGGTGACATGGGTGACATGACCTGCGATCAATAAAAGACAGGGAGAACACTGCCCACTGTTTCTCTGATGGGGACAGGAACCTCCCTTTCCAGCCATAAGGGCTGGCATATGTGGGGGTAAAAATAGAACCTCACACACTGCCTCCTTTGCCAGAGAAGGTGGTGCAGGCAGGGGCGGGGAGTACTGCTGCGAGCCTGCGGGCGAGTGTGCTCTTCCCTGCTCCAGTTTGAACCACCCTGCCGCTCTCCTTGGGAGTCTGCTGTTGGCTTCTGTCCCGGGGTGGGGCCTGCCTGGTGGATGGATGAGCATCTCATGGAGCAGGAGAGCTCCTGTCGCTGAGTTGCTTGTATCCCCTGTGGCATATACACAGAAGGTTGAAGGCTCTAGAGCAGCGTTTCTCAACCTGCGGGTTGCAGCCCCTTTGGTAAACATCTCTCTCCAAAAATATTTGCATTACAACTCATAACAGTAGGAAAATTATAGCTACAAAATATCAACAAAAATAATTTTTTTGGCTGGAGTGGGGGGGGTCACCACAACATAAGGAACTGTATTAAATGGTCACAACATTAGAAAGGTTGAGAACCATTGCTCTAGAGAGAGTTCACCTCTATGAAGCCTAGTTTCAATCTCTGTAATGCAGAGAATTCTGGTCCCTTTCTTTTCCAGTTTCATTTCTGTTGCTGTGACAAAAACCTGGCAAAGGCAACGTTAGGGGAGAAAGGATCAACAAGAGAAGTCAAGGCAGGGACTTGAAGACAGGCCTGTTTGCTAGTGCACACGGCATTGTCTCTGACCAAGGAGCACAACTCACAGTCAAGGAACACAGCCAGAGCCATGAAGTATGCTGGGGCTGTCAGGCTTAGGCATGCACGTGTGTGTGTGTGTGTGTGTGTGTGTGTGTGTGTGTGTGCACATGTCATGCGTGTGCATGTGCGCATGTGTGTGTATGCACGTGTGTGTCGAAAGTTGTTTTAATTCTTTTTTGTTTTATTATTTCTAATTATCTGTATGTGCCTGTGTGGGGTATGTGTGTGTGTGCACACGTGTGAATGTAAGTTGTTTTAATTCTTTTTTGTTTTATTATTTTTAATTATATGTATATTTTTAATTATATGTATATGTCCCTGTGTGGGGTGTGTGCATATGAAAGTAGGCTAGGAGTGTTGGATATTCCTGGAGCTGAAGGCACAGGAGGTTGTGAGCCCCGTAATGTGGGTGCTGGGAATTGAACTTGGGTCCTCTGAAAGAACAGTGCGTGTGTTTAACTGTTGAGCCAGCTTTCCAGTCCTTTCTTATACAGTTTAGGACTACCTACTTAGGTAATGGTGCTGTCCACAGTAGGCTGGAACCTTCTATATTAATTATCAGTCAGAGATAATCTCCCACAGACATGGTGCTATCCACAGTAGGCTGGAACCTTCTATATCAATTATCAGAGACAATCTCCCACAGACATGCTCACAGACCGCTCCGATCTATGCAATTCCTCAACTGAGATGGACAGGTTGACAGTTAACAGCCACCCAGGAAGCTTCCCATAGGGGTATGTGTGGCTCAACCCTTGTGGAACTCAGATTTTCATTCCTGGACTGGAAGAAATATTGTCTTGTGGCAGCTTTCCCTGTAGGACAGATGTAGTATGGAGCCTGCATCCCCACACTGACTGAAGCCTTTGTTTTCTCTTGCCAGGATCGACAAGACCATGCTGGCCGGCCTGAAGGTCAAGTGAGTAGCCCTTTCCAATTCTTTAGAGGTCGGAGATGATAAAGGCTGGAGTCCCTGTTATGAAGTAACAAATCCTTGCACCCTGGGACTTGTTCTGTCCATGTTGTGTGTGACAGTTGGCTGCTGTGTACTGTCAGATTCCAGGCTTGGTTGAAGGTGCTTCTGCACTGGGTGGGCCTCTTGAGTCCGGGATGTCCAGAGAAAGTCAGAGGCTCGAGTGATAGCAGCAGGAACAAGCATGGTTGGAATGTGACTAGTGGGTGTGGCTTTCAGGCTGCACACTCACTGAAAGAAATAAGTATTTTCTGTTATTTGAAATTTTATGTGATGCCTCAATCTCAAGAGAGCACCTCTTTGACATTTTCTATCTATTTGAAAAACTATGGCACATTGTTGTAGGGCCTCCTTTTTATATTATCATTGTTTCACTCTGTGTGTGGGTGTCTGGCCTGCACGCTTGTCTGTGCACCATGTGTGTGCCTGTTGCCTGCAGACATTAGAGCTGCGGACAGCTGTGAGCCATTATGCGGGTGCTGGAAATCAAACCGGGGTCCTCTGGAAGAGCATAAGTGCTCTAAACCACGGAGCCATCTCTCCATCCCCTAGAACCTTTTAAAACACTGTTGGTATGTGTGTGGGGTCAATTGACCATCAAGTCCTCTGTTACTGACTGGCTGCCGTGTTAAGCCCAGCCTGGGGGCTCTCTGAGGCCTCCACACCACAAGCTCAGGCCTGGGAACTGTAGCTTAGATCTGACACATGGCTGCTGGTCTCTGTGGGAAGGGTGAGCAGAGGCCCCTTTGCCTTGAAACTGCTGTCTTCCCTTTCCTCACCCCCTTCAATCTGTTCCCCTTTCTGTTCTGTAGACTATTTGGTCATTATCCCAATGCCTTCTCTCTTGACTTACCCAACTTTAAGAACCTTCCATGTGTGCCTCTCTTGGGCCTGCTCCAACTGAATGAGTTGAAAAGATGGAAAATTCTAGAAGGAAAAAAAATTAATAACTAGTGAAGATACTTTTCTGCCACATGTGAATTAGTTTGTGTATGAAAATTTATGCAAGGGTTCAGCGGGCATGCACAAAGCCCTGGGTTCACTTAGCAGATCTCTCTCTCTCTCTCTCTCTCTCTCTCTCTCTCTCTCTCTCTCTCTCATGAGTTGCCCCATTTCAAAGGTGGCTCCTCTTGTTGTCCCTGCTCCAAATCAGCTAAAGTCAGTCATCTGGTTGCCAGTGTTGACTTTCCTGGGTACAGTCAGACTTGAAGATTGGTGTGCAAGGGGGTCAGAGTAGAAGGTCTTCCTTCCACTCAGTTGAAAGGTGAGGGGTTGGGGAGGAGGGGATGGTAAGCACAGCTTGGAGAGAGATTTTAGTTTCCCCATAGAGTTGAGGGCAGAAATGCCCACAGAGCATCCTTGGTTTCCAAAGCTGCTCTCAAACTGGGGCAGGATCATGGGGCCTCTGTCCAGCATGGCATGTATACCAGTGTGGCCCAGTTAGGGCAGGTTGTCTAGGCAGTACACTGAACTCTTCATTTCCTTTTGTTTTGTTGTATTTTGTTTGTGGTCCTAGGAATTAAACTCAGGAGTTTGTGCATGCTAGGCAAGTTCTCTCCCACTGAGCTCTATCCAGCCCTCTTTTTAATTTTTTATTTTGTAGGGGTGGGGGCACATGCCATGGCACTTGTGTGACAGTCAGAGGACAACTTGCTGCGGTCAGTTCTCTCCTTTTGCCATGTGGATTCCAGGCATTGAACTTGGGTCATCAGGCTTGGCAGCAAGTGCCTTTACCCTTGAGACATCTTAATGGCCCTGTTTTTACTTTAGAAAATATTTTTACTTGTGCGTGCGTGTGTGCGTGTGTTTGTATACCCATGTTCAGAGTCCAGAAGGAGGCATAGGATCTCTTGGTACTGGAGTTACAAGGGTTGTGATCTGCCCATTGTGAGTACTGGGAATTGAACCCAGGTCCTCTAGAAGTACTCTTATCCATTGTGCCATCTCTCCAGACTTGTTCTTTTTACTTTGTAAAATGTGACACAGTGTTCAGATTGGCCTTGTATTACATTATCTTTTGCTGGGGAGTTGTGGACAAGATGTCTGTTCACCCCAGGTAGGGTACCAATGACAGATCAAAGAAATGACTTTGTGCAAGTGTAGCTTGGTGGACCAATGACTTGAGTTGGGGTGACTCACAAGAGCTTGGCTGAGGGGTTACCTACAAGAGTATGAACAACTTACTGGTCACTATGCCACCTAATGAAGGTCTTCACTTAGCATTGTTAACTGCTTATTTTCCCTTTAGGGGAAGGGCTTGTAAGAGCTTTCATGTACTGGTAAATCCTTCATTTCCTCCTGCACCCTTTCTGCCTTTTACAAGGGAGTACTTTTTGCCCAGTCTTGTCTTGTGTGGATAACGAGAGATGCTTTGATAGCAATGGTCATGTTATGCCTAGAGGACACAGAGAGAGAGAGCATCTTGAGTCTGTAATCTTTCTGGCTCAGCCTCTCCAGCAGCTGGGATTAGGGGCCTACACCTTTACCTTCTGGCAACATGACTGGCCATTTCAGAGCGTTCAGGGGGTGTATCTTCATATTGAATGGGGTTTGAGGTGTTAAGCAGGGTTGCTAAAAGACACGGAGTAGTGAAGTGTTTTTAGGGTGCTGCCTTGAGCCACTTAATGCAACTACAACAGTGGTTTATAGAATCCCTGTTTCTTTTAAGCAGAATTATTTGTAACCTGTAAAGGAGCTGGGTATAGGGTGGTGTGAAAAGGTGTGGGGGGGGGATGGGACAGTGCTGAGAGGTGGGTCTAGTGGGGGGGTCTCTGAATATTTGGGGGATAGTTAGAGTGCGGGCATAGGGGACATGGCATGGAGATGGTGGTGTCCTGCAAGAGGTGTAGGACTGAGTTTCTAATTTTAAGGTCTGTTGACTCCAGGAAACCAACACTTTACACTGGATGTGGTGGCACACATCTGTAATCCCATCACGTAGGAGAGAGACACTGGGAGAGCTGGACTTGAGGGGCAAGTTCCAGAGCTCAAGGTCATCCTTGGCTATTGCCTAGGATACAGGAGACCCAGCTTCAAAAAAGAAAACGAACAACAAAGCAAAGAGTTCTGTGTGTGGTCTGGTTAGGCTAAAGTTGGGAACTGATCCCACCCACTATGCCTTAAGGAAACCTAAGAGAAGCTCAGGAGGGATTGGACCCGGTGCTGGAGATCTAGGGAAGTTCAAGTATAAATCTAAAAGAGAAGAACAAAGTTGGGGGCTGAAGAGACGGCTCAGCAGTTAAGAGCACTGGCTGCTCTTCCGGAGGACCTGGGTTCAATTCCCAATACCCACATGGCAGCTCACAGCTGTCTGTAACTCCTGTTCCAGGGGATCTGACACCCTCACACAGACACACATTTGGACAACACAACAATGTACATAAAATACAAACAAATAAATTATATATGCATATGTATATATTATATACACACACACAAACTAAAAAAAAAGCAAAGTTGGAAGATTGTACTTCTGATATTAAAATTTACCACAAAGCTATCACTGGCACAATATTAATACAATCTAGTACTATAGATCAATGTAATAGAATTCTGAGTTCAGCAATAAATCTTTACATATATGGTCAGGTGATTTTTTTTTAAGCAAGACTGCGACAATTTAATAGAAAATTTAAAAAAGCGATATTTTATTTATTTATTTATGTATTTATTTTGAGACCGGAGTTTCTCTGTGTAGCTCCAGCTGTCTTGGAACTCCCTCTGTAGACCAGGCTAGCCTTGAACTCAGATTTGCCTGCCTGTGCCTCCCAAGTGCTGGGAGTAAAGGTGTGTGCCACCTGCATATGCATTTTCCTGCATATATGTATGTGTATTATGTATATTCATGGCTCCTGCGGAGACCAGAAGAAGGCACTGGATTCCCTGGAACTGGAGTTAGAGATGTGAACCACCATGTGGACGCTGGAAACTGAACCTGGGTCCTCTACGAGAGCAACAAGTGCTCTTAATTATGAAGCCACCTTTTCTGCCCCTAATAATGAAAAATTTAAGAAGGAAATCACAATGAGATATACTGCATGTCCCCTGCAATGGCAATTATCTTCGACATCATAATCAAATACAATGATTGGAACTTCCATGGCAGACATGTAAAATGGAGCAACTGCTCTGGGAAACAATCTGACTGTTCCCCAGGAGGTGAACGCATAGAGTCCTGGCCAGTAATCAGTATTCTCAGATACACATGGAAGGGGAATGAGAACAAGGTTGTGTAAAACCCTGTGCACGCTGGGCATGGGGGGCGCACACCTTTGATCTCAGCACTGGGGAGGCAGAGCAGGTGGATCTCTGTGAGTTGGAGGCCAGCCTGGTCTACAGAGCGAGTTCCAGGAGAGGTTCCAAATCTACACAGAGAAACAAAACAAAACAAAAAACCCTGCACACATGGCAGCATTGTTAATGATAACCTCAAGGGGAAAACACCTGAATGTCTCCCAGCAGTTAACTAGGAGAAAGATGAAATAAGAGCAAGCTGCATAAAAAGAGTCAGACACCCTTTTTCACTCACATGATGTGTCTGAATTAGACAAGTGCCTGGAAATGCGGAGTAAGTTAATGGTTTCTGAGGGCTTGGGGATCTGAAGGAGGGAGAGTAAAATTTACAAGATAATAGGCTTCTAGACTATGAATGGATAGTGTGACAATGGCAGTGGTAATGGTGACGCAAGTATGTGACTGTCCCGAGAGACGTTGATTTGTACTTAAGTGGTGTATAGAATTTGCCTCAATAAAGCCTACTTTTGTTTTCATTTTGAGACAGGGTCTCATGCAGGCCAGTCTGGCCTCAAACTCCCTTTGTAGACAGAGCTGGCTTTGAACTCCTGATCCTCTTGCCTTCACCTCCCGGGATTACAGCCATTTGTCACATACCCTGCTTTATCAATTATGCATTTTAAAAGGAGAATCTAATTACCCCAGCCCTTGTC